TGGACACGCTCAAACTTTTAAGGAAGTATAGACTTTTCGAGCGCCCAGACGAATACCTTAAAACTCAACTGGTTTGGACTACGATTTCATAGAGTAAGAACAKAGCCTTTGTTGAGAGTCCCCACCTTGTTCCTATGGGTCCACTATAGCAATATATGGAAACTTTCATTACTCTCTCCTCAATATTTGGTCTCCATGAAAKCTTTCTATCAAGAATAAGACYWAGGCCTTATCAACAGGTTGAAKATGAGAACCCCCGAAGGAGTGGTGRATCACTTTAGGGATATTATATCTCCTAGCACATAAGACCATTTACGTTTTACTTATGTTGACGGTTGTTGATGGTTAAGCCCAGTTGGTTACCACGTTGAGGTACCCTTCGGTTCGCTCTTAAACGGTAATGAGGACCTATATCGATTAATTTTCCTTTAACCGTCAGCGTAAGCTGTCACCTGACAGTTTGCTCTTCGATTTCTTTTAGTAGGTCATTAATCATAAAGATCCAGGGCAGTGGAAAACTACCCCACCATGCGTKATGCTCCTATTAAGCTTCCAGGATGCATTAGCACTATCGAGAATACTATATATAAAGTGCATGAGATTCGATTCCACCTCAAACTTTTATTCACTGGGCCCTTAGCAGATTATGGCCCGGTATTTTGCTTCTACTGTACAGGTACAACGTTTTAAACGGTTGACATCGACGTAAGAGCTCTTACTGCGCTTTGTAACTTTACCCAGGCCCCCTATTAAACATGGAATCAACGCAAACTTCGTTCTTAAATATTTTTGAGTTTCATGGTAAAATGCGGCGGACAAACCTTTCGAGTCATAAACGAAAACGTGTCAAGCTTTATTTTATTAACTTTGAGCGAAAAATCTCAAAACTAATATAGTCGCTCTGTGGGAGTGAATGCGCACTTCTCTGAATTAGAGTACACTTCGAGATAATACAGCTACTGCAGTCTTAATGGCAACCAATTCTACCTAAAAAACACTGCAGTGATCTGGTAGCTCAAAGCAACATTTYCTCCGAGTTTCAACCCTTCAGTTAAAAAGCTCACTGCGCCTATTCTCCAGCGACTTCGCTGCGTCCACATGTCCCTTTCGGTATGTAGGCAGAAAAAAGGCTTCGGTTGTGGACTCTACATCATAGATTGTTAAGTTTTTAGGCATAATATTGGAAGAAAAGTGACTTTCATAATTTCATGTTTGGACTCTTTTATATACSCAGYATCCCGTGTTTTARAGCRACCTTCGCTGGCTATATCCACGGGTACCATGTATYAGTCTGAATTTAAGACCTAATCTTAAATGCGATCCGAATTAAACTTCACACGAACWAAAAAAGTTTATATCTATCAGTCCTGGTCAAATTTGATCAGGTGGTATATGAAACGTAACACACCTTTTAACATTCTTTGTACTGTAAATACTTATGTAGTCCTTTGAAATTTCAACATTAGTTGTACGCTGTCCTATTTAACGTTGGAAGTATATCAAAGCACACTCCACCTTCACCACCTTCACCACCATTTCCCATTCCCCATTGTAAATTCTCGTAGACACATAAAATGTATTTTTTTTTTTTGAAAATTCAAACACATATTCAAGTTCAAAATGATTTTAAACCATCCCCTACACTGTAAAAAKGAATCCATTCACCTCACACATATTTCGTAAGTAATTTTTTTTTAAACATATATGTATTTATACCATCATATATACATACAAACAATATATGTATATATGTATAAATTTAAGACGCTGTGTGTGTGTGTGTTTTGTATGTATGTGTGCATAGGTGTATATTTCTTGTAAATATGTATGTATGTGTATATTTTATTGCTATTTGTTCGCGTCTTTGGGCGCGCGTAAGCTCAATTTAATTCGTATTCCTATATGTGTAAGTTTGTATGTATTTATATGTGTATAATTGTGTATGCATACATTTCTTAATGTTTCGCCTTCGCTCTTCGATGCAAATTCAAATGTTTTTCTCACACACCTCCCCTCCACACCAATGCAGGCATCTCACCAATTACAACAGCAATTTCCTCCACAACCATAGCCACCGATAGACAAACCCAACAGCAACAACAACAACCATTACCAACGCAAATAGCGCCAACGCCAACGCGCAAGCGTGCCACCAGTTTTATACGTAAAAAGCCACCGCTTGAAAGAGGTTTGTCAGCACAAAGCGCTTTAAGAGTTAACAAAAATGCTTTTGTCTGTATGTGTGTCGATGGTATTATACAAACTATGGAGCACATTTCACTTAAAACCGTTTCAAATTGACTTATTTCAGCCGATGGTTCAGCACCGGAAGTGATCGTTACGAAACCATCACCCGACCAGCAATCGGGWCCGATGGGCTTGAGACCGGAAAATTCAACATTGGTTCACGTACTTGTGCATAGGGAGAGTGAGGAGTATAAAGATGAGGAGGATGAGGAGAATGTCGGTGCGGGTGGTATGTCCCCAGCAGGCGGAATTGGTGAGTTGAAATGAGTTGGTGGTTGAATATKTTTTGTTTAACTGTGGTGATTGTGTTGTTGTTGAATGTTGTTGCAAATTACAATAATCAATTTGTTAGTATATATGTATATTGTTAAATATTTTTTAAGACTTTTATATTACCTCGATTTATTGTAGTAACAGTAAAAATTATACCGAAATTTATTTTCGCAAAATTGAATTTATTTAGGGCATTTATAGTTACACAAACCTGTCGGTCTTATTTTAGGTTGGATTAGGTTAAGAGGCCGATCCTATTGCAATCGCCAACAGTTATCTTACTTAGACAGTCCACAATATCGGTCTGTGGTAAAACATAAAACTGTCTTACTATTATCAATAATATCACTTTGGTCTACCTCTCTGGATTCACGGAAAGTATGATTTTCCATATGTCCCAGTCTCAATCTTACAAAGGCTGCATAAGACTACATCTTCGTTCAAACAGATATAAGATAATTAAGAAATGCTTATATGTTCAGCAAGAACTTCTATGATTGCAAAATGAACTTGGCTGAGAGTAAATAGTTCAATGAATCTCGCGAGTCCTAATCGATGCCAGAAAGATCCCGTAGTCTCATAGAAGCTGGTCATCGACCAACTAATCTCTTTCCAGATCTACAGGTCTACTGCTTGGACAACTTGGATCCAGCTGGTTTCCACACCAATGTAAGTGGGACGAAAGCGCCACAGCTTCACAGTTTCCAGCGATTCAGCTATGGCACCCAAAGTGGACGAGCTCAAAGATGCAGTACTTCTCTGAAATAGAGTGCATTTCGGAGTAATACATCTACTACTGTCTTTGTAACAGCCAATTCTAACTAACTTCAGTGATCTATTAGCCTAAAGCTAAGTTGGACGCAAAGCTCCCTTGCAGTAAATTGCCCCTACAACATTTCCTCCTAGTTTCGACCCTTCAGTGAAAAAGCTCACTGTGCTTCTTCTCCAGCGACTTCGTTCCGTCCACATATCCTTTGCCGGTATGTGGGCAGAAAAACATACATTCCTCCCGAAGTCTTGGATTGACCTTCTCTGGCTAAATTCACGGATGCTATGTGCTGATCTTAAAGTCAGAGTTAAAAGATCGGATCTTTGCTTGTAGGCTCCGATCGTAAGCGCGACCACCAAGAACTGTGTTTGCACTTGAAGAACATGTCCACATGAACGACGCTAAGGAACAGTTTTATAGACCTTTGTATACTTTTCAATAGTTTTCAATTGAGAAGCTTTTGTGGTCTTAGTCAAGTAGCTTTAGTATGAAAAATATTTTTTTTGAAGAGCTTGGAAACCGGGACTATAAATTTTGTGATTTTGTATATACATATGATATATTTTTGTTCAAAGTTTTTCTTTGAAAAATCCACGATATTACGTAATCACATAGTGTAGAAGATAGAACTGCTTATAACCTTAAAACCTCTCGATCTTCAAAACATATATCGTAGTAAAAAAATTAGTCGTTAAGGTCTTACTTTTTTACCCTCGATTAAGACACCTCGAAAGTTTCTGCAATCAGTAATGTAAAGGTTACGTTGAATAAGACTCTTGTCTAAAACAGTACCTTCCAATGTATTGGCGAAATCTTTTCTACCTAGCGTTATGATCTTGTAAAACGGCCTTCTTCGAAAGCTTCCGAAAGAGCCTCCGGGTCTACCAAAAAGGATTTCAAAAACTACACACTGAATTTAGTTTTGACATTTTTTTTCTTCTCTCGCAGACAAATTCAAACCACCACAAATACATATTAGCCCAGGTTCTGAAGATATACGCTTCGATGAGCTGCTACCAATGCAACAGCCGGTCGTACAAATAATGGTGGATAGTCCCAAAGAACCACCACGTGGCGATTTCTCCGACGAATATCCCGAAACGTCAGCACACGTTTACGATTACTATCCACCAACAAATGATGAATTAGTTGCCGCTGAGACTTCAATGGGACCAACGGTAGAGATTTCACCCCCCACACCGATCGATTTGAATGCACCAATCGATGTTAATATACAGGGAGACACATCGAAAGTATTCTACGATTATAATCCGGAGGATGCCAATGAAATCATTGTGCTGGAGACATTAACCGAAGAGTCACCTAAATCCGAAGAACTACCCCTACCACAAGCTGTACTGCCTACGCTTCCAATTGCGACAACGCCACCGTACATAACGGCAGCTACACCAACAACAACATCAGCCAAACCCAGAGACATGCAGGAGAGCAGCAGMAGSACCACCAGCGAGAGTGACACACCTGATGAAGGTGCACAAGCGGTAAGATGACCTTCACTACAAACAGCACCGGTGACCGAGAGCTCTGGCTCGTCGAGCACCAGTTGCTGTAGCTCACGACCCATGTCGACATACAGTTCCACGTCGGCGGCCGATGCCTGTGCGGTGCCGGATATGCCAAAAGATAATGAAACGCCGCCATCGTCAACAGCAACAACAATGTCACCTACTGCTTCCACATCAGCTRCGGCCACAGCCACGGCACCACCCAGCCGTGMGCAGCGTGGCCACGAACAGCAAGCGCATGACGCTCCAGCCAATGCTGCAACGAAATCCGAACACACAGACGGCAGTTGACAATCTCGGGCATGAGGATTGTTGCCCGCCATCTGCCGTTGCGCCAAATTATCTGTCAAATATGCGTTTAGTCTAGCTGTTGATATGAATTCCACTACGTACTCCCACACACACAAACACTCATATAAACACACGCGTGTTTCCATATTCGTTAATGCTTCAAGGTATTACATTTAAGTAYTCAATGTACTTGGCAACCACACAGACATACATACATAAATACATAGATATACGAAATATAAATTATTCGTATTTGTGTGTGTGTCAGACATTACAAAAACAAAAAATTAAATGAATTTAACATAATTAGCATAATATTTATGTAGTTGTTGCGTGAGCGAATATGCATGTGAAGAAGCAGAATATTAAAGAAATATGAAAATAAGTTACCAAAAAAACAACAACAAAAACCAATTAACATACAAGGAAATCAAATGTTAACAATTACAAACAATAGTGAGAAGGCAGTAAATAGCAACTAAGTTCAAGTATTCTAAGTTGCGTCATACTTGCAAATAGCGAATGTTTAACTTAACGTTAATTTAGCATTATAAATTTATATATAGGCTTAATATACACACATAYATATAATATACRYATATATAGATATGACTGTGTACATACATATGTGTACTAAATATTTGAGGTTAAATATGCAGATGCTGTTATTAGAGGTTGTTGCATTTTTGTATGTAWATAAATTTAAGTGCATAGTTATATACATATAGTATAGTATGTATATGTAAGTAGCAAAATCAATAAAAGTATAGATAATTTTAGCTAGCTCTTAGGTGTACATACATACATTTTAAATTTTGAAAATTCGTTAAAAATTTGCATTTGAAGCACAAAAAGAAGATTATAGCAAATTATTTTGTAAATATAAACATGCTTGTATATTGTTTTACTGTTAAATTAATTATTACACAGCACATATTTSGTAACAAAAAAATCAAAAATTGTTCAAAGTTATTTTAAACAAACAAAATTATTGCC